CCTGCCTTCCAGATCAGGTAGAGCTGGCTGGCCACCAGCCCGGCCTGGTGCGGCTTCCCAACCCTTGATGGGCCCCAGAAGGGCCCGAGGCCTTTGTGGAGGGATGTGGAGAGAGATTCACTTTCCTCTTTGCTACCGCAGACAGCATAAAGTGACCTTGACCCCCCCCACCCTCAATCCCACCTTGTCCCCCCCAGAAAGGCAATCACCGTGCACTCTGCCAGACATTTTCTCAACCCCTTCTTAACCACCCACACACTGGAACCCATAGAACATACACGGCACGGATTGGTGAGGTTTAATTTTACACACATTGCGTTTCACTGCGCATGTCAGGCCACGGCTCGCTTTTTCCACTCGACAGTGTGTTCTTGACACTTGACCGTGTGAGATAGCCCCGGACCTGAGTCGTTCCTTGTTACTTCCATGTGTTTTCACGCTGAATGAACGTGCACGTTTTTTGTGGGGGTTTTTTTTGTGTTTTTCGTTTTTTTTAGGCTCTCCCTTGTTGTGGGACGTTTGGTTCACTCTAGACCCCAAGCCTGCCATCAGCCTTCTGATTCATGCCTCTTGGCCCTTGTGTGTTTTTCTTGGGAACATACCAGTTGCCGGGTCATATGGTGCGAAAGTTTCAGTTTAAATAAACAATGCTAATTTGCCCTTTCAAAATATCTATGTTAATTTGTTCTCCTAGAAATCTTGGGAAATCATTCAGTTTTTCTGTGTCCTCACCAGTTCTCACCTCCCAGTTGCTGGGTAGAAGGTGGTATTTTGTTTAAAATTGTTTTCCTGTGTTCTCCTGAGGTCGAGCTAGCGAGCGCCTTTGTGTGGGTTTCTTTCCTGGCTGTCGCCATTCTCTTCTCTCTGAATGGCCCCTGGGAGTCCTTCACCATTTACCACAAGATCTTTTGTCTCTTAGAGGTATTTTGCAAATACTTCACTGAGTCTGTAAAGTCATTTGTTATATAGGAGTTAAGTGTTAATGTTGCTGTAATCAGTTACCCATCTTGTATTTATTTATTTTTGTCTGTGTTGATTCTCCTTTTTTATTTGTGTATTTTTTTAATGTTTATTTTTGAAAGGGAGACAAAGTGCAAGCAGGGGAGGGGCAGAGAGAGAGGGAGGCACAGAATCCGAAGCAGGTTCCAGGCTCTTACCTGTCAGTGCAGAGCCCGCTGTGGGGCTTGAATTCATAAACCATGAGATCATGACCTGAGCTTAAGTCCAATGCTTAACCACCTGAGCCCCCCAGACACCCGCTTACTTTTTGTTTTTTTTTTAAAGAAACCGTGCCCTGCCCCTAAGATCACATGGGAATTCTATATTGTCTTCTGTCAATTTTCTGTCAATTTTTATTTTATTTTATTTTATTTTACTTTATTTTATTTTACTTTATTTTATTTTATTTTTTGAGAAAGAGAGAGAGTGATTGTGGGAGGGGCAGAGAGAGAGGGAGACAGAGAATCGGAAGCAGGCTCTGTGTCGGCAGAAGAGACCCGATGCAGGGCTCAAACTCATGACTGGTATGATCATGACCTGAGCCAAAGTCATATGTGTTACCAACTGAGCCACCCAGGCGCCCCTGTAAAATTTTACGCTAGAACCCTAGGCCCTCTGCCTCTTGAAACAGTGGAGTTCGTGGGGAGGGACCCAGGAGGTTCACCTGGGCAGCAAGATCCAGGCAGTGGCAGTGCTGCCCGGGCCACAGGCCATTCCTGGGAGTCACGCAGAGAGGCTCATAAGGTCCCCGCACCCTGACAGTTCTCCCCATGTCCCCACATCCCTCCCAGTACCTCCGCACTGACGGCTCCTCTGTTGTGGGGCAAAATCCGGGGTGCCCGCACGGACTAGACCGTGGGTGGGACTGGGTTCCGTTCAGCAGCCCCTCCGCTGGGTCCCCCTCCACCAAGACATCTAGACAGGAGCAGACAGCCCTGTCCCCAGGGCTTTAGATGAGAATACCCATAGCCAGTGTGGGCGCAGCGGGGGGCTGAGGTGGGGAAGGAGTTCCCCAGGGTGACACCCGGAAGCCCCGACAGATGAGCCCCGACAGCATTCCCTGGTCTCCCTGGAGGAAGCCCACCTCGTTTCCCTTTAACCACCCCCAAAGCTTCTGAAAAGCCCGAGGCCCCCTGACTCTGGAGGTCCTGGCTCCCCAGGGCTGGACAGTTGTCTTTTACTTTTCTTATGAAATCCCTCACGGGGTGGAGGAGTGTTGATGTCTCAATTGCATTTCTGAACGTCGTTCCGCTTTGGGGTTTTGTCCTTCCTTTTTTGTTCTTGGGGGCAGAGATAGTGGGTCATCCCCCCCTCGAAGCTCTTAAGGACCCCAGGCTTTAAGAGGGGGTCGCCTGCCCACAAAGCCCCGTGTTGCAGACAAAACCCCACAGACACCGCCACCCACGGCTGTGTCTGCTTTCCCCAGTCACACCGTGAGGGCGAGGGGTGCGTCTTCTGTGGATGTGAAGAGAGAGGAAATCCCAGGATCCCTGCTCCCTGCTTGTAGGGAGGCAGGGGATAGAGGAAGAGGAAAAAGGAAAGAAAAAGCACCCCTTATCATTTTGTTTTCTGTTTAGAAAAGTAAAAGATTGTTGTTGAGGAAAATGTTTTAAGTACCGAGGAAAGAAAATAAACTCTACATGCTGCAAAGAACATGCTGGAAAAAAATGAGCATACTGGCTTCCACCACTGAATACAGAGGGCCAGTAGGGACGCTAGACATTCTGGATGACATACAATTTTTAGACATCTTCTAAGGTACTTGGCTGGGTCGTTGGGAAAGAGGCAAGATGTGTGCTACAGAATACGAAGAAAGCAGGGGGTTAATCCCGCGGGTGCTGGTGTTTGTCGTGGGGCCACTGGCCGTCCTAGGCGGGCCCTGCCCTGTGAGAACACGCAGACACAAAGCGCTTCAAAGCCCAGAGTAGGTACTGGAAGCCACCCCCACAAAGCCGCAATCCTGAACGGATTCGCTTTCAGAGGGTTAAACGGAGCCATGTGTGGGAAGGCGGTGGAGAGCAAGGAGAGCTGACCCGTCCTCCCTAGGTCCTAATGGAAAGTAAAAGGGGGGGGGGGGCGGTAAAAACTTGGGGAGTGCCTGAGTCCAGGTCTGTCATCCGGTGTGTCTGGGGTCAAAAGTTCTCTCTGTGTTCCCTTCCCTCCCCTCCGCCACCCGCCCGCCTCCAGTAGCATAAGCCAAGTATGTGCTTACAGTGCTCTCGATGGAACCCATTGGGGCGCTTCAGGTACCCCACAGCTGGGATGTAGTAACGCACAGCTGCAAATCTGCTGAAACTCCAGCTGTGCATTCAAAATGGGCGCATTTTATGGTATATAAATTATAACCCAGTAAAGCTGCTTCAAAAAAAAAAAAAAATCTACCATTCTTGTAATCAGAAGCGTCTCCTAATGTTTCAGTTTTATTTTCTGCATTTGTATTTTCTTTGTAAGGATACTTCTTTTAAAAAATATGTATCAGAATAATGCAGTTCTCACCCTCTTCTATTTCGAATTTCAGTGTCTTTTCCAATGTCGTTGCGATGACTTGTAAGTAGGATTTTATACATGGGTTTTTAATATTTACTCTAAACAACTCGAGTAGTTGCTTATTTTAAAATAATTTCAAGGAGGGGCGCCAAGGTGACTCAGTCGGTTGAGCGTCAGACTCTTGGTTTCAGCTCAGGTCGTGATCTCACGGTTCGTGGTTTAAGCCTCAAGTCAGGCTCTGCACTGAGCATGGAGACTAGGAATCTCTCTCTCCCCCTCTCTTTCTGCCCCTCCCCTGCCCACATGTTCTGTCTCAAAAAACAAATATTTAAAGTAATTGCAAGGAATACAGTGGTATATATAGCGCAAAAATTTAAGTTCTCCCATCGATGCCCCCACGCCACATATGCACTCCCCCCACCCCCCGTCCATTCTCACTTCCCTTTCCATAGGCAACCCTTCTTCACAGTTTGGTTAAACATAATTTGTAAATGAGTATATAATTTTGCATGTGATGGGGAAAAAATCATACTCAAATTTTTCCCCTATTTGGGGACATTTAGGTTGTTTCCTCTTTTGGCTATTTAAAAGAAATGTGGCAGAGAATTCCAGTGGAGGAAATTCAAAGCAGATGGTGGATTTAACAGTCTGTCTTACTCGGGTGAGGTCAAAGCCATCAAGGACAGGTACTAAATTCGACCTCGAATTTGATAATAACTTCCAAATAAGAGAAGGGGCCTAGCATATGGTGAGGAGTCTGTGTTAAATGCCTCACCAGTCAGTTCTCATTTAAAGCGCCAGACATCTTGGGGCGCCTGGGTGGCTAAGTCGGTTGAGTGTACAACTCTTGATTTCAGCTCAGGTCGTGATCCCAGGGTCACGGAGTCTAGCTCCCTGTTGGGGTCTGTGCTGAGTGTGGAGCCTGCTTCAGATCCCAGCTCCCCCTCTCTCTGCTGCTCTGCACCTCATGCTCTCTCTCTTTCACAAAATAAATACGTATATAAAGCACCAAACATGTCAAAATAAGGGAGGTTATTCCCATCATACAGGTGGAAAACTGTGATTCAGAGGGGCTGAGTACACCATCTAGTACAAATGTCAGCTCTGAGTTGCCAGACACCAGACTGGAAGTATGATGGTTCTAGAACCAAGCAAGGCGCTTTGTCTTCCTGCGCCTTCCACTCATTCAGGCAGACACCGTCACAGCTGCCATCCATCATCTGTCTGCAAGGAAGCCCTGAAATGTTACCAGGATTCTCGATTGGTTTTTCTTAGCTACAGTTTGAGCGCCTGGTGCACAGTAAACATTGTACTGATCACGTCTCATGTTGTTTATTCCGCCATCAGTTTGAGAGGGGTGGGCATCATCCCTAGCGGCGCAGCATGACTCAGAGGAGGGACTTGGTCTCCGGTGTGCATGTGCCTCCAGGTCTGGGAGGCTGCTACCCCACGGGTCTCCATCAGCTGGACCACTGGACTGCCCCTCATTTTGTGCTGCCTCTGCCTGTTCCCAGACAACAGCGACCTGATCGCGTGCACGGTGATCACCAAGGACGGCGGAATGGTCCAGCGATTCCTGGCTGTGGATATTTACCAGATGAGCTTAGTGGAGCCCGATGTGTCCAGACTTGGCTGGGGAGTGGTCAAGTTCGCAGGCCTGCTACAGGTATGATGGCCAGGAGCCCCGGGAGCTTTTCTTGGTTAGCTGCACACACACACACACACACACACACACACACACACACACACACGTGTGCACAAATCATCTGTCTCTACAGTTCATTTCTGATGACACAAGGACTACGTGAACAGATTGTCATTGGAAAAGTGAAAACACTGCACAGATAAGGGTCAAGTGTGCTTTGACCCAAACCCTCAATTCTTAAACTTGCTCCTGCATTATCGGTATGCGCCTTCCAGCGCTGGTGCCCTGCCAAATGCACATATAAATATAACTGCATGCACTGTTTATAAATACTGTGTGCACACACTTGAGAGAGTGTGTGTGAGTGTGTGTGTGTGTTTAATAGTGTCACACTGAACGTATTCTAAACCTTTTTTTTCCTCCCCACGCGATATATGTCTTAGGGCTGACCACGTTAGCATACGCAGACTTCCCCAGTAATTCTTTTAACAACTGCATGACCACGCCCGGGCCCTGTGCTGTTGCCAGCCCGTTACCTTTACAGACAACGCTGCCTTGAACCGAATGGTCCTTCCTTCCACGTGCACTTGAGCGAAGGTTTCCCTTGTAAATTCCAAGAAGCTGGGGTGTGCCTGTTTTCAGTGCCCGTGGGCACCGCCACATTTCCTCTCTAAAGCAACTGTTGCCACCGGCAATTGAAACATGGCCTCGTCCTCACCCCTGCTCTAGCAGAGGCGGGCTCCACATGGCCAAGCGCAAGTTGGGACATGGGCTTTCTTACCGTTTGTCTGCATGATGGGTGACTAATGTCAGCTCCACAGCTGACTGGAGCAAAGAACCAGGAGTGTTGAAAGCAGCCTTCCAGCCCCTCGCCGCCGGTCACACAGCCCCACCCCCACCCCCGGCCCTGGACGTGCAGGAAACTCTTCCAGGCCCCAGACTTGCCCTGCCCTGAGGCAGTCCCTTCCCTTGCTGGGCAGTCCCGGGCACCGGCCAGGTCCCCCTCCGCACGGTGTGACCTGCTAGCAGTACCACTCTCTGCGGGAGCCACCCATGTGTTAGAGGATGCAGTTGCAACCTTTTCCCCGACCTCCTCTTTTTCAAGATCTTTCCCTTTAAAAAATGTCTTTTCCGGAGGGGGACGCAAGAAACTATATGAAGAATCTTCCATTTAAAAAGAAAAAAAAAGGGGCGCCTGGGTGGCTTAGTCGGTTAGGCGTCCGACTTTCGCTTAGGTCATGATCTCGCGGTTCGTGGGTTCGAGCCCCGCATCGGGCTCTGTGCTGACTACCAGCTCAGAGCCTGGAGCCTGTTTCGGAGTCTGTGACTCCCTCTCTCTCTGACCCTCCCCTGCTCACGCTGTCTCTCTCTCTCTCCTAGAAATAAATAAAAATATTTAAAAATAAATAAATAAAGAAAAAGAAAAAGAAAAAAAAAAAAAAAAAGAAAGACCTCCCTGTAAGAGGTTGTCCATTTAGGTGACTTAGTGCTTCTTATTTATCTAGACTTATGATCAATTCCCTTTAGAATTTAGTGTCAGGAAAGTGTTTTTCTCCCTGGAAGGATTAATACATGTCCTCCGTTCAGACGACGAAAGCCACCCAACCTTTCCGTTTGGTCGCCTTCCAGTGGCTGCTATTTATTTGTCAGGCCATGCCTGCGTGCCAGGTTCTCCACCTTCAGTGTGGGACAGCTCACTGAATGCACACTGCAACAGTTTGCGGCAGATGTCATTTCCCAGGAGCCTGGGCCCGACTTACGGCCCGACTTACGTGAGCCTTCTTGGCCTGTCCCCCGCCTCCTCCAGCACGTCCGGCTCCCGCGTCTGTCTCCTGCCTCGTGCCTTTACCTCGCGGCACCTCAGGCTCTTGTGGGAAGCAGATTCTGTACACGGAAAATCCTTCCGAAGGGTTTAGATGGGATTCGTCCTTACCACGCTTGCTCTGGGGAGTGTCTTCTGCACCTTCCACATGCCGCTTCCTTCACGTGCCCCGTCCCTTCTCGGGGTTAGCATTCTCTGGTAGGGACCAGAAATTCTGGTTTATTCCCTCTAGTATTCTCGGAGGAGCTGCTGGAGTCTGGCTCTCTGAGTCCCAGTGGCCGCTTGAAGACGCTGGTGCACCCGTTTATTCACTAGCTAAGCCAGGTCTCCGCGGGCAGGGTCCCCGCCCCCACAGCCAGCACGGGCTCGCCGTGAGCACCTGTGCTGCCTACCGTGTCCTGTCCACGAGGCCTGGGCTGGTCAGGGAGGCTGCTCTTCTGGGGTAAAGGCAATTTTGGGGGAACTTGGGGAACCTCTTTTCTTTTCTTTTCTTTTTTTTAAGACTCTATTTATTGGGGCACCTGGGTGGCTCACTCCGTTGGTTAAGCGTCTGACTTCAGCTCAGGTCATGATCTCTTGGTATGTGAGTTTGAGCCCTGTGTTGGCCTCGGTGCTGACAGCTCAGAGCCTGGAGCCTGTGTGTGTGCGTATGTCTCTCTCTCTTTGTCCCTCACCCAGTCATGTTCTGTCTCTCAAAAATAAATATTGAAAAAAAAACCCACTCTATTTATTTAAGTACTCTCTACACACCCACCGTGGGGCTTGAACTCACAACCCCAAGACCAAGAGTCGCATGGTCTTCTGACCGAGCCAGACATGGGGAACCTCTTTCTTGATGAGACGAGATCCCGTGGCTTCTGAGCCACCACCCTCCTCCTGAACCTAACGAGCACCCTTGCTTTTGCCCCTTCCCCCGCAGGACATGCAGGTGACTGGTGTGGAGGATGACAGCCGTGCCCTGAACATCACCATCCACAAGCCTGCGTCCAGTCCCCACTCCAAGCCCTTCCCCATCCTCCAGGCCACCTTCGTCTTCTCGGACCACATCCGCTGCATCATCGCCAAGCAGCGCCTGGCCAAGGGCCGCATCCAGGCGAGGCGCATGAAGATGCAGAGGATAGCTGGTGAGTAGCCGGCCCTGGCGGATGTCCTCAGAGCCCTTGGCTCTCGCTCTGACCTCTAGGGGAGGACACTGGTGGTTTAGGACTTACTTGCACTTTGGTGAGAGGACAGAGGATCTGCCCAGGTGTGTGATTTCTAGAGAGTTTCTGGGGCCCTATGGAGGCAAAGGAGAACCCTCCCCAGCCAAGCAACGGGCCCCGAACAGACAGGTGTCAGTGTGGGATGGCTGTTCGCACGCCTGCACACAGGAACTTTCTAGCTTACATGTACTAAATGCTTGGACGTTCCTCTACCACCTTGGATCCTCAGGCCTTAAGATCAGTAGGGTCTGTTTGTCCATTTTACCGAAGAGTAAACCAAAGTTCTGTGACTTGCACACCCACAGGTAGTTGGCAGGAGCCCAGTGCGGCACTTCCTCCTTGAAGCCCACCCCTTGCCCCCTCCTTCCAGCTCTCCTGAGAGACAGCCCTGCCGGGCGAGGGGGCCACGATGACCCAGCACTAGATTCGGAAGTCGCACATTCCACAGGCACTGTGGTGAATTTGTTGGGGGGCCTCATGCCGTGCTGAGCAGGAAGGCCCGAGCTTTCTTAGAAATAAGGCTCTGTAACAAGGGTGTTCCATTCATCAGGGCCGACGGCCGGCTCTCCCCCAGGGGAGAAGGCTTTCTCTCAACTCCCACAATTATAAATAGTCTTTCTCCAGACACCAACGCCTTTCAGTTCAAGCACCAATGGTCACCCCGGTGCAGTTGCTGGGAGGAACTCCTTGGGGAGCCAGAGGGATGCGTTCTAAAGGGATCACCTAAAAATAAACCCTTGGAGCGCCAGGTTTCTGGACACCGTAGATTAGGTTATTTGCCGTGCGCGCCCCGTTGATTTGCACAGGACTGCGTCCCATGCGTACCTCATTTTATTTCTCACTTAGCTGAAACTTGGCCTATAAAATCATTAGAGAAGCATTTTGTAATGTGCAAAGTGACTTAAATCATTCAGTCCGTCCTCTTAAGATTTATTTTCAGAAGGTGGTTGTTGTTGCTTTTTTTTTTTTAACGTAAAGCAATTTCTCACCGCTGGCACGAACGCTAAATACTTCATTTGGAAATTGAGAATTACGCTGTAAAGTGGCTGTTAGAACGAACGCCTCGGGTATGCCTTAAATCGATTTTAAAAGCCCCTCCAAATTGCTCTATCGTGAGATTTCTTTACGGGAGGAAAGATAGCGACGGTGACAGATAAGCACAATCTCATAAATACACACGCACGTGCGCAGATACGTTCTCCCTCACACATGCTCCCCCGTCCGCATCCAAGCTTTCAGGGCAGAATGGGCCCCGTTTGCTTTGGGGTCTAAAATCGTACCCGCGGCTCAGCCTCGCTAAGGGTCTTTAGCACGCGGAAGCTGAGAATTCGAGGTGGAGACTGGCTGGCATCCATTTCTGGCTCCCTCGCCAGGCACCACTGTGTCCTGAGCTCGCGCAGGACCTCCCTGTCACGCCAGTCCCCCCCCTTTCAAGGCCGCCGGCCGCCTGCTTGGCACTGTCCCGAGTGACACGCCTGGCAGGGGCGCCTGCCCCGCCGGCTACCGCCCACCCTGCCCACAGCCCCGTCACCCACACCCCCAGGCCCCCACGATGAGCATGAACCACGGTGTTGTTTGAACATAGCCCTCCTGGACCTCCCGATCCGGCCGACGACTGACGTCCTGGGGTTTAGACTTGGCTCCTCTTCCACCCAGCACCTGCCTTTCCGCTTCTACGACCAGTGCCGCCGGGGCAGCAGCGACCCCACCGTGCAGCGCTCTGTGTTCGCGTCAGTGGACAAGGTGCCAGGTAAGCTGCCCCGTCCCTGCGCCGCCTCGCGTCCCTGCGCCGCCTCGCGTCCCCGCCCGCGTGAGCCCGTGTGAGCAAGCCTCCCTTCCCGCCTCGGAGTCCCATCGGCTGGAAGCACCCATTTCTTAGAATTCGTCAAAGTAGAGCTCAAGATGAAACACAAGCCCTAGAAATAAATCTTGGCTTTCCATTTGAGGTTCTGCCTCCTGGCTTTGGTGTTCCAGAGATTTTCTGGGGATGTGGAAGAACTTCTCAGAATTGAGACTAAGAAGTTTCTTGGAAATTTCTTGGAAATACTCAGATTGTTAGTAATGAGGTTGTGGGGAAGCGATTTCCTTCTCCATGTGAGATGACTAGAGAGGCCGTGTGTACAGTTCCTGTTCCAGGCCCGGAAGAAGTGAGAGCCCGTGCCAGGGCCTCCCATCTGGGAGCTGGGAGCACCCCTCCCACTCTCTCCAGAGCTCCTGTCCCCAGAAAAGAGAAATAGGAGAAGAAACGTCAAGGGCCACTTCTCCAGAAGGGCTGGCAGCCTCGCCCCTTCCTGTTCCGATGCGTCCCCCTTACATAAGTCCGCGTGTGCACCCCAGTCCTTCGAAAGAGAACCTCACTCTTGATTACAGAGCTTCCTAAAGTTGGCCCGGCGGCCCCTGCAAGCATGTAGGGTTTCGAACTTGCACTGAAATGTTGCAGAATGTTATCAAAGGCAGTTGCTGATTGAAGAAGAGCTGTTGATTTAGAATCCCGCGACAAGGACCTGTCCAAAGTCAGGGTCCTTGTTTTCCCTGCACTCCATGACGTATCCTATATTCATTCTTTGATTTCTTTGAATTCCTTTTAGAGATATGTATACCGTAAGTATACGATATTTTAAAATGCAAACAGGACGTGATAAAATGAGAAATAAGTCAGCGTTGCCCCAGAGGTGATCACTGTTAACGGTTTCTTGCCTGTCCTTCCAGAAATGTTCATTTGTACGCCGTCCACGTTTTTTTCTTGTCTGTTTTTACACGTGGAGTCGTACCGTCTGTGGGATTCTGCACTTTGCCTTTTTTCACGTGTAATTCGGTGTGACAGGCCAACGCGTGTTGATTAACTTCACGCCAAGTAATAATTAACTCTTGTCTGGTATTTGAGCCTACGGCTGGACCAGAAACATCTTTCATAACGTTTTGTATTGGCACATTTGGGTCATTTCCGGTGTCATTGCACATCCTTGGGTGCCTTGGTGTAAGTGTGCAGACCTCGACTGTCAGGGGGAGAAATTCTCAGCCGGGTCAAAGGGGAGGCTTCTCGTCTGACATAGGCAGTCGCAACACGTGCTCTGCATGAGCGTGCCCGTTCACGCTGCCCCCGCTGCCTGTGACCGGCTTCCTTCTTAAAACCAGTCTTAGTGTCTAAGACTAATGGTGACACCGCGTTTGTCTTCAGCGACAGCATGTGACATGACACTGTGTGCTGCTTTGTCAAAACTCGTTCAGGCTGCGTCACGTTCCGTAGAGATGGTTGCTAAGTAAACATAAATGGTGGCTGGGAATCTCAGTTAAATGCAGATGGCCCTGGCAGGAAATCATTTCCCTTTCTGTCTGTCTTTTTCTTTCCACAGACTTGTAATTTATCATAACATTTCTGTAAGCACCGCCTTGTGTTTTCTTTTAAGTTGAGATATAATTGACACATCATATTAAGATGTTATTTCTTTAGGGCCATTCATGTTTCATCCCGGGAGCAAATGGGTTAAAGAGAAGCACCGGGGCCTTATTTCCGTTCAGTCCTTTTTGGACAAAGCAAGTATAAATAAATAAATGGGGCCAAACGTCACATTCTTCAGCATCTGCATAATCGTCTCTCTGTTTGCAGAATGGTTTACAATGACTTATTACCAAATGCTCCCACCCCGCCTGGGCTCCCTGGGAGAAGTGAGGTCATCCAGTGCAAGGGGCGGGGGGCGGTGTGGGCCTGTCTGCTGTGGCCTGGGCCTGCCTGGTGGGAGTGCCCACCTCCCTGCTGCTGGCCCCACGGTCAGATATTTAACAGATGGGACTGTGGGGGATTAAAGGTAGCTGCCCAGGCTGGCCGTCCACCCCCGGCCCGTATGTCCCCCGTGACAGTCTCTGGAAGTGCCACACAGGTGTGGGGTGGGGAGTGGGGACACTCTCACAGATGTGCCCCCAAGGGCAACTGCTCTGGACCCTTGGGTAGAGAGGCCCCACTGCCTTCCCTGCACTGGCCTGGGCTGGAGATGTGGCCTAACGAGCAAGTGAAATCCCTGAGCCTCAGTGTGACTCAAAGAGAGGGAGGGGAGCTCTCCCCACCCCACCCCTCCTCACCTCCTGCTGTCTCAGCAGCCTGTCCCTCAGCATCTGGGATCGTTCTTGGTCCTACTCTTCCCCGTCCCATCCCCGCTGGCCTGCTCTGTTTCCAGAAGACACCTCCCTGTCCCCGCCCCCAGCCCTGTCCCCAAATCATGGAGCAGTCTCCTCGGTGTTCTCAGGCATCCACCCTCATCGCTCCCCTTCAGCCAGAGGGATCTTTCTAGGACACAGTCAGGTCACATCACACCCCTCCCTGCAACCCCCTGGTAGCTTCCTGCTGCCCTCGGAACGAATGCACATCTCTCTCTCCGGTCTTGGTCTTGCGTGGTTGTGGTGAGATGGGCCTGCTGGCCTTTCAGACGCAGCCACCCGGCCACACCACCCCTGCCGCTCCTCTCAGCCAGCACTTTTCAAAATTTGGGCCTCGGGTCCTCCTTTATATGCTTAAAAAAATACTGAGGATCCCGAAGCGCTGGAGTTCATATAGACCTCGCGTGCTTTAGTCTGTGGCCCTTGGACTAGGGAAGGGACACAAGGGAAGATCGGAAGCATTCTTCTGGTTAATTCCTGTCACCAGAGTGAACGAGATGTGCACCCAGGGAGGGCACGTGCGCCCACGGGTAGACTTGGGACAGTGGCACGTCAGCTGGCTTCCATCACCCTCACCTTGTAGCCAGAGTGGGGCTGGTGGGGGCCACCGGAGCAGGCCGGGCTGGCCTCTGCTGCTGTGGCGGCCACAGCCGCATCTGGGCCCGCGAGTGCAGGGGGTCTCCCCACCCGCCACCTCTTGGAAATGGCCTTGCCCTGTGTCCCTTGCCATAGACCACATGGTTGCAAACCCCAGGTGGGGTCCTCACTCCTGTCCAGGGCGGGGGAGGAGCATTCACAGTGGAGAAAACAGTTCTGGCCGCCTGCCTCTGGGTGACTGCCGGAGGGGCTGGGCCTGGCCTGCCACGTGCCCCATTTTACCTGCCGGCCGGGTGATTGTCACTGAGCCGGCTGTCTCCCCCTCACCAGCTGTAAACGATTATATTTAATGAAAACTCCTCCATTTCCCTGAAAGAAATCCTAAAGTAGAATATAAATCAGGGCTCTTAGGTGACTAGCCACTTTCGTATATTTCTCTTTTTCCTCTGGGCTGGGAGAGAAATCACGAGTCCTGTTTATTGGCCAGCTTCATGTCCCTGGCCGTCGCCCCTGGGGCAGGTCAGCTCTGCGAGGGCAGAGGCGCGGTGCGCGCCGGCGCGGGCAGGGGGCTCGTCGGCACGCGGTGTGCCCCGGAGGGCAGGCTCGACCAGACCCACAGTCTGCCTGCGAGGGGCAGCCGTGCACCATTAGTGCCCTCAAGGTCTTGTCCCACCAGCCCACCGCGACCGCCAGAGCCTGCCAAGGGGGGTCGGGTGTCCACAGGGGCATCTTCCCACAAACACCAAGTGGACCCCCGGACCCGGGAGCAGAAGCTGTTCCTCGAAGTGCCCCTGAGCGGGAGTAGGGGAGGCAGTGGCAGTCACAGGACCAGCACTCTGGCCAGCCAGAGCGGCCTTGGCCCCCACGCTGGGCTCCTTCTGGCCTAGAGCCTGCTCACAGGTGTTTACCTGTTCCCAATTCTTATCCAAACTGAAGGTCTCTACAGCCCAACTGGGTCAGGGATGTGAGAACTCAGGCGGGTCAATGCCCCCTGGCCTTCACGGATGGGGGCTTAGCGACAGGACCACAGAAAGTGACCCCTTCCCAACTTGTTAATTACCAGCCACTCCCCAGCGGCTTTTAGCTCTGGGGACAGGGACCGAATCTGTGACTGTTTTCCACCCTGCTTCAAACCTTCCAGAGTCTCTAGCCCTCAGCCTCTGTCCATGGCCGTTGTCCAGCACAGCTGGCCCTGCCCCTTCCCACTCTTGGCCCCTCTCTCCTCTCCCACCTCGGCTCCCCCTGCCGATAACACAACCCCAAATGTCAGCAGCACTGGGCTTTCTGCCTGCCCCTCCCAAGGGCCAGGTGGGTCCCATTCAGGGCCTCTGTGCTCTCGCTGCCCTCTGCCTAGAGCCCTTTGCCTAGAGCCCTCTGCATGGCTGGTTCCTTCTCAGGACTCAGGACTCTGATCAGATACCTGCTCAGGGGCCTCCCCTGGGGGCCCCGACCCCCTCCCCCAGGCCCTCTCTGTGGGGCAGCTGGTTTTCTGTAATTGAAGTGAAATCCACATAACATAAAAGAAAGCCTAGGATTCAGTGACATGTAGTACATTCATGGTGCCATGGTGCCACCACCACCTCTGCTGGTTCCAAAATACTTTGATCGCCCACAAAGCAACAGCCATTCGCCCTGGGCACTCAGGCGCCATTCGCCCTTCCCCAGCCCCGGCCGCTACCACTCTGCTTCCTGTCCCGTGGGCTGCTGTGTTCTGGACGTTCGCACACATCGTACAGTGTGAAGCCCTCTGCGTCTGGCCTCTCTCCCTGAGCATCATGTTCACGTGGAGCGTCCATACACATGTAGCACATGTAGCACATGTCTGAGCGCGTGGACAGACCACATTGCGTGCATCCGTTCTCACACCATTGGCGGCCACGTGGCTGGTTCCCACCTTCCGGCGTGCATGCGGAGCAGAATGGTGGAGCAGAATGCTTTTCCCACGGCCCTCCAAGCCCTCCCCATTAGCTGGACTTGACCCGTTTGTGTTCCCGGCTGGGTCGCTCACCCCGAGCTCACTTGGAGGGCTCCGGTGCCCCGTTCATCTTGCCCTCAACTGCTGATGGGTGGCGAACAGGTGCCCAGTGACTGTCGGATGCAGGCGGGGACGTGGATTGGTGGATGGCGGCTGGGCTGAATGGCTTGTTCGGCGTCTTATCTTCCCAGCAGGCTGTGAACCGAGGCAGGGGCGTGGCTGTCTTGCTCCTGGCCCTGGCGCCGGCACCAGCCCAGGATACCACCTGGAGAGTCACGCTGCATCCCGCCAGAGCCGAGCTCTAAGCTCAGCTTTCCTCTCTCGTCCCAACTCCTTGTCCCTCCTGTTCAGGCCCCCGTCTGTCTCTGGGCAAACATTTAAATCCCTGAGCACGGGGAGTACTGTGCTTTCCACCAGTGTTATCTTTATGAAAGGCAAACAAACCGGCCCTATCAGTCACTGACCCAGAACGCTTAATAGTTCCGTGGAAAGGCAGAGCCGTTCCAGAGCCAGCCCCTGGCGGCTGAGCAGCCGAGGGAGAGCACAGAGATCACAGCGCACGCCGAGCCAGCCGCACTGACCACGGACCACGATGCCTCGGACTGACAGCCAAAAAAAAGATCAATGTTTAATTCATAAACCTCAGTCCTGCCTTCTCTCCTGGGATAACATACTAGGTGCTAATGTCATCTCGTGACAGTGTTTCCCAGAAACTAATTTTTTTAGGCCTGTTATTTTTCTTGTTTCCGATTAGAAAACCGGAGCTAGCTGCCTCCTCCCAGCTCCCCAAGGCAAAAGGAATGCCCTTTCTGGAGTCACATGGGAAGGAGAGCCTCCCCGGACCTTCCTCCAGTCTCCTTGGCCGCCTGTTAACCCCTCCGGAGCATTCAGCCCCCTGGCCAGAGACTCCAGCACCTGAGTCAGTGACTTAACAGAAACTTCATTCTAAACCTGTCACCTCTTTTTTTTTTTTTCTTTTTTTTTAAAGCAAACCGTATTGAGCTCCTAAGCCCTTCATACAGCATTCTCCTCTGATCTGCGAGACAACCCTCAGAAGCAAGCTTTTGCCATTTTCCTTTTCTGCATATGAGAAAGAGCCTGCTCAAGGTCACGCCAGGTGCCCCTCCCCCCAATGAGTCCAGGAACTCGAGTCTGCCACCGCTATGCCTCTTAGTTCCTGACCCAGAGTGGACACTTATGAACTGAAGTCTCCTTTTCTGCTTTTAGAAATAAAGGCCCACCCACAGCCGCCTGAGACCTCACTAGTGTCAGGCAAAACCAGGTTGTTGACTCCAGCTCTGGGTGGTTTTAAGTTTAAGAGAGAGGGTAAGTGGGGGAGGGGCAGACAGAGAGGGAGACAGAATCCCAAGCAGGCTCTGCACTGCTGGTTGCAGAGCTCAACGCGAGGCTCAAGCCCACAAACCGGGAGATCATGACCTGAGCCGATACCAAGAGTCGGACGCTTAACCAACTGAGCCACCCAGGCGCCCCCGCTATGGGTGTTTTGAACAGAAAACATCATCTGTTTCTGGAAGCATTGGTAGAGTTTGACTGGAAGAATTAAGTCTGCCCAGCACTCTGTATGTGTTAATTCTGTGCTCCTGACAGTGCTGGGAGCTGGTGTGGCTTGCCCTTGGACTTGGTCCAAGTCGCAGACCAAGGCTGCAGAGCCCACGCAGGGCAGACTGAGAGCCCTCCCTCCACTGCCTGCTTCTAAATCCCAGTTGCCTCCAGGCTGGTGTCCATCCAAGCAGCTTACCCTGACGGCTCTGCCACCTGTCTCTGATTGTCAGAGGTCAGCAAGACAGACCCCCATGAGAGAGGGGACTTCGGGTGGCCCCAGCATAGACACAGCATGCCCATGCCCGCCTTCTGAACACCACGCCCACACACTCCGAGCCCCGCCTTGCATTTGAGGTTAAACATGCAAAGCAGCCGTCTGGAAAGACACTCTTCCCCCTCCCTACCCCCCGCCACAGCCACCACTTCCAAACTGGGTAGAGCTCGGGGCCATGTAAAGACCCACCAGGGTATAGATTTGTTCCCCAGTCCATCGAGAGCAAAAGGCAGAATCAAGACTTAAAAATGTTGCCTGTGCAAAAGCAGGATCCGAGCTCTTTTCAAAGCCCTCTGGCAGCTGTCTCTGGGAGAGCAGCCCTTGCGCGGTTGGGCCGGAGGTGGAGGACTCTGGTCCCGCTCAGACATCGTCCCCGAGCCAAGTCCGAGGCTCCCGCTCCCCCCCCCCCCCCCCCCCCCCCCCCTAGCCCCCCCCCCGGCCCCCCCCCCCCCCCCCCCCCCCCCCCCCGCCTCCTGTTAGAGCCCGCAGGACAGCCACGAAGAGGGAGTGTGAGCACCGTGTCCAGCTGGGAGCACACGGCCCTGCGGGAACCATGCTCCTGGGTCGGGGCCCATGGGGCCCCCTCACCTGGAATGTGCCCCCAGATGTGGACGCTTTCCCGGGACACACACTGGCGCTCGGTGTCAGAGGAGTCCTCTTGCGAAACACAGCCCAGCAGGCGGAGCCAGCCTCCGGGCCCCAGAGGAGCCTCTCCGGGGGTGGACACAGGAGAATGAAAGAGTTCCAAAGAATTGAGTGTTGCTTCACTTGTCGGGTCATCACCCACCTGCGGCTGCCAGAGCCGCCGCGTGCCTGGGAGCCACCTGCAGCCCACCACCCATCACAGAGCAGGGACTGCCACGCGGGCTGCCCGTGGAAGAGGGTGGAGAGCCCGGGCGGGAGGCCGTGGGAAGAGTTCCAGCCCCGGCCTCACTCTGCCCTTCAACTCGCGTAGGTCCCAGTGGGCCCCCAAGGAGCAGCCTTGCTGGTGGCAGGGGATGGGCAGGCAAGTGTCAGAGCAAGTGGCCGGGCCACGTGCCTGTGTGCACACCTGCCCATGCCTGTACCTGCCTTGAGGATGCGGCCTCTGCCAGTCCTTCTTCCTGTCAAGCTTCCTAGGACAAGCCAAGCGTTTATTGCAGGGCAGTTAAAAAAGTCGGAGAAGGACCAAGAAGAGACAGGATGGATGCACTAACCCTCTCTCCCTTGAGCCGTCCGTGAAGCACATCCGGTGTCCCTGCCCATCGTTCTTTCTGTTTGTCCGTCGTGGGTTTCTGGTCTCAGCAGCAGTGTTTGCCCAGGTGACAGTCAGCAGAAGGAGGTGGCTTAGCCCAGCCCTGGAGCAGACGGTCTGGGTTCAAGCCCTGGCTCCGCCTTCTCCTCATTGCATGGCCTCTGACCGGCGAGTTCACCCTCTGCACCCGGTTATTCATAACAAACACTGAGTGTACTTAACACCGCTGAACTGTACGCTAACAAATAGTTCGGATGGTAAATTTTATGGTATGTGTGTTTTACCACGGTGAACGAGGGGGGAAAAAGCAGGGATGAGAATGTGACCCACCTCACTAGGCTGTTGTGAGCATGAAAGGAGTTAATTCACCTAAGTGCCCAGAACGATGCCTCACCCGTGTGCAGGGGCAGTAAAGGGTAGGCTCTCGGTATTTTTTATTGTCATTGTTCTTAGTCAGGGTTGACCCTTGGGACCCTAAATAATAGGTTCCCTTTCTACGCATTAAATCAGTTTGTGCAAAGTTAATCACCCAGCAGCTCCCTGCGAGGCATATAACAAAGGCGCCCTGCAGCTGTACAGATTCACTCACTTAGACTTTCCATCAGGTGCTGATAAAACGCAGGGGCAGAATTTACCTCCTGCAGAAGGGCCAGGAGGACTCTGGTTCTGGACATGCCGGAGGCCCCACAGCTCCAAGAGCAGAGCCAGGGCCAGAGAAGAGCAGAGATCCACTCCCTGCGCCCCAGCCCCTCACACACCTGCTCCACACCTTCCCCCGTGGTCCTGACAGCTTTCACTTAGTTCTTGCTGATCCACACATCAGCCCCAGGGGGCCGCTGCCTTCGCCACTCTGCGGACCTGGAAACCTGAGCACAGAAGGGCGAGCACTTGGTCAGCGCCCTGAGCTTACACCTTCAGTCCTGAAGGGCACCCGGGAATCAGCTGTGCTTTGGAAACCTGTATCCCGTTCGGTCGTGTGAGCCGGAAGCACGGAAACCAGCAGAGAACAGGGCTGTGTTCTCTGGGTACAGGGTGGGTGCGGGTGCCTATGTCCAAAGGAGAGTCTGTAACGTCATGCAAAGAAACTTTATGAGCCTTGTGCTTCTCTGGATGTTTCTCTAGATGTTTATCTTTTGCCACTGAGTCATTTGTTTTACCAGCGGCAAGTTCTCATTAGCAGACAAGTGACAGCAAGTGACAAGGATCAAAGGCTCATGTGTGGGGTAAAACCCAGAAACAGAGAAGACCCCAGCCCTTGATTCTATCTTGATTTGATGTTGGGCTTCAAATGTCTCTGACTGGCTTAGGGAATCCCAGGGTCCCGCCTGGAACTAGGTTTGAGAACCACTTTACCACTTCCCAGGAACCAATCACAGTGCCAGCCTTGGGTCCCAAGGGCATGAGGTGCCAAATAAGTGGCATCCCTGAGTGTGTACATGGCTAGAAAGAGAGTAGTTCCTGCACGGGGACCCTACTCAGAGTGGGAGGAGCCGGAGCAGAAGGCAGGCATGGGACACAATAGAAGTGCTGAGTGTTCACAGGGAGGAGGGGTCATCGGGTCCCTCACATGTCCCTTTCCTCTCTGCCCCTTCCTTTATGGCCTCTTCAGAGCCTGCCAACTCCTAGGGGCCAGGTAGGGGACCACCGGGGAGAGAAGGGAAAGGGGACAGATGAAGAAAGATCTGGCATTGTTTTGAAAAAAAAATTTAATGTTTATTTATTTTGGAAAGAAAAAGAGAGAGACAGAGCATGAGTGAGGGAGAGAAAGGGAGAGAGGGAGGTGCAGAATCCGAAACAGGTTCCAGGCTCTGAGCTGTCAGCACAGAGCCCAGCGCAGGGCTTGAACTCAGGAGCCACGAGCTCATGACCTGAGCCAAAGTCAGACATTCAATTGACTGAGCTACTCAGGTGCCTCTCTTTTTTTTTAACTTAAAAAAATTTTTTTATAAGTTTATTTATTTTGAGAGAGAGGGAGAGCGTCCACATGCAGATGAGCAGAGGAGGGAGGGAGAGAGAGAGGGAGAGAGAGAATACCAAACAGGCTCTGAGCTCTTGGCACAGAGCCCAACGCGAGACTCAAACTCATGAACTGTGAGATTATGACCTGAGCTGAAACCAAGAGTCGGACACTTAACTGACTGAGCCTTGGCATTTTTTAAAGGAACTTTAAAAATAGCAGGGAAATTACACAGCAGATACAACAAGAAGGTCAGGAAAAAGAGGGTGCACTGACTTAGCAAGTGTTCGCCGACGTCTCTTAGGAGTCAAATAAGCGACATGCCAAGCACACGAGAGGACTGTCAGGGGAGACGGACATACAGACGGGTTGTGCACAGAGGCGGGTGTGATGAGGACACGTGTGCAAAGGCATGCGGGAGCCGGCGACATGTGGCGGCACGGCTGGGGTAGGGCCGTGACGGGGAGACAGGCTAGAAGGCCTAGTGAGGTCGGAGCGGCTGAGGGCTTCCGGCCTGCTGGGGGGTTGGAATTTTACCCTGGAAGTGCTAGGAAGCCCTTGAAGGTGCCAAGGCCAAGGCGTGGGCTGGCAGGCGCCTTGGGTTTTGCTTTACTGCAGTCAGGGAAGGGAGAGGGAAGAAGAGAGACTCTGGGACACTCTCGGCCCTTCTGATGACACCCCCCACCCCCCACCTACGCCATAAGTGGTGCTCTGCCCTCGGGAGGGATGAGAAAGCCTCGGCAGAGCTACTCCCTTCCTCGGTTTGGTGCGCCGCCTTCCGTCTCTCTCTCTGCGTGTTTCCATTCTATGCTTGTGCTGGTCTCCTGCGTTGCCTTTTTATTTCTTCACAGAAATGAACGCTGTTTTCACTCAGCGATGTGTCTTGGATTTTCGTTCTTCCCTGTTGGTTCATAAGAGAGCCCGCTTCCGTGTTTATTCCTGCAGCGCAGTCCATCGTGTGGGCAAACCACTGTTTACTTTGCCAGTCCCCCATTGATGGACATTTAGGTCGTGGCCAGTTTTCTGTCCTTGACAAAGCATGAGCGGCTCTGCGCACCCTTGCGCAAGGATTTCCCTGGAGTAAGTCACCATGAAGTGGGGCCAGAAGTATCTAGGGCTGCAGCCCTAACAGGCCTCGGTGACCAATAAAGTATGTGGGTGGAGATGGGGGGCGGGCTAGCTTAGGGCGAAATATCAAGGACTCTCGCTTTGTATCTGAACCCTCTCCTCTTATTTAGCCAGCGAGGGCATCTCAGTGATCCCAGCTTCTGCCCCAGCAGAATCCACACTGCTTGTGGCCAGTGTTCTGTCCAGGAGGCCTTTGGGAGCTGTGAGGATTGGAGAGGTTCCCAGGAGCCAGCAGGCGGCCTCCAAGGGCTCGCCGGCCCACGGCTCGGCTTGTCAGCCCAGACAGCGCATGGTGGCATGATGGGTCCCCCAGTAGTTTCTCCTCTGGCCTCCTGGCCTCTGAGCCGAGGTTAGGACTTGCTTCGACTCTTTCCTGTCTGTAGCCAGCATCCCATGAGTCAGTGCAGCTTCCTTTATTTGTGGTTGGCCAACTGTGGCACTCTGTGAATGTGCTGTTCTCCAGAAACACACACGGAGAAGTATTTGTTCAACGTCTCAGATTCCCAGAGGGTCACAAGTCAGTATTATCCCTGTCCTGCGACATCTCTTCACACTCCAACAAGCCCACTCCTCAAGCCCCAGAGAGATCCCCGAAGTCCATCAGAGCAGGGCCGATGAACTGTTTTCCGCCGCCTCCACTACTGCCAGCCGGGAACGCAGATCTTTGGAATCACGTGATTCAGGCGGTAGGCGCTTCAGCTTCAGCTGCACAGCAGTACTAAGTTTGGGCTGTGATTTGCAGTGACTCCTCTGAAAAAATTTGCAAGTTTGGTAGAAATTCAGATGCATCCCATATGTGGTATACTTTAGCCTCATAGACGTTTTTCAGGGATGACAGTCCTGTTTATTGAATGCCTTCTACGTGCTTGCTAGGCATGAGACTAGTCGCTTCACATAAAATAAGGAGAGAAATGTGTAAAAACAGGCAGGTCACTAATCCCACTTTTGCAGCTGAGGCAAGCAGGACTCCCAACGCAGAAGCCCCTTCCCCAGGGTCCCAGAGAGCCTGAGCCTGCTCTCACACTCCTGTTCTTTGTAATGCTTCTCCCTGCTTCCTGAGAAAAAGGTTATCTCTTGCTCGGTGTTCTTTCCTTTCTTGCTCAGTCGACTCGAAGGTTCTTTGTTGCATCTGAGATAAAGCTGCCCTTTGTTGTGGCTTTCTGACGATGTTGACTCTGCAGGCTGACGGTTGAACCTGAGGTACTGGGTACCACGCACACTCCGGCTTCTTGGATGGAACAGGGCCTCGTCCTAAATCATCAGGTCAGTCCAGCAGCAGGAAGAGTCAGTGTTGACGGAAGGAGCCTCGCAAAACACTTCTCCCACCCATATCCTTCATACCCTGAGGAACGTTCTGAAGTAGTTGACGTTTATAAAATCTTGGGCATTTTGGGAAAATGTTTAAAAAAAAAAAGAGACAGATTTCCAGCCTGATGCCCAAGGAGAATGTCCCAGAGCTCAGAGCAGCCTTGCGTGGTCCTGAAACAGTGCCCAGGGCCTCGTGGAGGCGCGGCCCGCTCAGTGTCCCCTCTCTGACCTCTTCACTCCACCCGAGCAGAGAGCAGATGCAGAAAACACCCCGTACTGACTTGTGTCCCCGCTGGGCCAGCAGAGGG